AGAGAGAGAGAGAGAGAGAGAGAGAGAGAGAGAGAGAGAGAGAGAGAGAGAGAGAGATTGAGATACAGTCTCTCTTCATAGCCCTATATATCACTATATAGACCAGGCTGGCATTGAACATAACTTTCATTCTTTAAGAAGAAAAATATCCCAGATCCCAAGCCTTTAAAGAGTTAAGCCCCTGTAGCATTTCACTGCATCTGCTGGCTCTACATATAATCTCCAAAGTCACTAAATCCTAGCACTTCCCAAATTATAAAGGAGAGACAGAAGTGTTTACATTCCCTTCTTGGGTGCAACACGTTGAGCTTTTTAGTTAATATTCTACCTGAGTCTTTGCATAAGGCTTCACAGGAGGTATATGTCAGAGTGAACTCAATTTACAGTTGTGAAAACATTATACGTTGAAAAAGATACCCCCTCCCCCCAAGTAGGTAAAGGAAAGTCAATAAAAGAATAAAGGAGGCAAGACACCACACCCAGATGTCTCTTTGGAGCCTCAAGTTTCACTACCAGCCATCTTGACATGAAAGTATAAATTAGTTTTAAATAGAAATTAATTATGGTCATTTCTGTCAATGTTATGGCTCTAGACCCATGATTACTATTTTTTTTATTTTTGAATTATGGATCCCTTTGATAGCCAAATAAAACTAAAGACCCTTCTATAACTTGTAAATTTGGGATGTTCATGGACACATACCCTTCTTGAGATACTCTCATGAGAGAAAAAGGAAAGACACAAAGATAAATGCTTTTTCTTTGAGTATGGCATCCTACCGCTATAGAGGAGATGATCATTCCTTTCCTCCCATGTTTACAGCATGTGTGGTCTAGTTCCTTCCTGTACCAGGTTGTCCTCGTGTGTTTGGTCCAGTGCTTTCTCTCTAATCTGTTATCAGTACCAGACATGACTAACTTCCCATCTTATATATTGCCATCCTAGTGGAAGGGTTTAAAAGATTAAATATAAGTGGAGTTATTATCATAGATGTAATTGTATTAAGGATCCCACACCAAAGATTAGCAATAACAGTTCCTGGGGTTATTGATGGCCTCCTAAAAAGTGACAGGACAGAAAAGTAATACAGGGGACTTATAAAATCAATGGCTACTTCACCTCCTATTTATTGACTTGTTGACTTATCTAAGAAAGCAAAGAAGAAAAGAATATGACAGTTAGTATAGATTTTAGTGATCACCTTCTTCTCATTGGGTTTGGTGGATTTGTGTGGCCTCAAATAAGAACCAGATTAGAAATAAGAAATACATATTTTATGTCATAAATAAAATACTAGTTTGGTTTTACTCATTAAGCCTTTTTAAGTTTTGCACACATTCCTCTGGTAGTATTCCCTCCTATAATTTAGACCTAGCACCCACCATGTCAAATTACAGCTAGTCATGTGGCCATCTCCTGGAAGGAGATAATGACTCGGAACCCAGCAAGGCAGGAATGGTGAAGCACTGATTCTGTGGTTCCAGCAGGAGGGAGGTAAAGTTTCAGTGTGGAAAAGGCCACCAGAATCCTGCAGATGTGTAGACTGTCAAACCATCCAAGGAAGGTAGGATACAAAGATAGGTCAAACAGGGATCTTGGGTCCTGTCCACGAGATGTCACAATGGTGACCTGCAGCTAAGTTCTGACCCACGCCGTGGTGGTTTTTACTTTTCAAGATATAATTTGGGCACTTTTTTGAAGTATGGAAACATACATTCTTAAATGTATTGGTTCCAGTCCTTCTTTCTTTTCTTATACCAGCCTCTTCCAACGTGTGTGTTTCCATCTTGGCCCTTCAAGACATCCAAGTTTGACCTTTGGGGCTCTGGTTAGACTGATCCTGAGCCCAGGATGTCAGAGCATTATCTGCAAACAGCATCCAATAGGAGAACTCCTGATAGTAACTTCTGATTCTGGATGAGATACAATTCTCAACCCATTTTTTATTCTCACCATGGGTAGATAGAGGAGAAATCTTAGGTTTGTTGTTTGCAAGTATTTCTCTTGTGGCCATGAGAACAAAGTCAAAGAGAGATTTTTTTTTGTTTTGTTTTGTTTTGTTTGTTTGTTTTGTTTTGTTTTGTTTTGTTTTGTTTTGTTTTGTTTTGTTTTGTTTTGTTTTGTTTTGTTTTGTTTTTCGAGACAGGGTTTCTCTGTGTAGCTTTGTGCCTTTCCTGGAATTCACTTGGTAGCCCAGGCTGGCCTCGAACTCACAGAGATCCGCCTGGCTCTGCCTCCCGAGTGCTGGGATTAAAGGCGTGCGCCACCACCGCCCGGCTCAAAGAGAGATTTTTAAACAAAAGTCTTTATCCATAGTGAAACCCCCACAAGTAGAGGAGTAATCCACAGGACTATCACTAGTGTGTTGAGTTCTAAAACTCCAGGGGAAAAGCCACACAAGACTTAATAGTTATGGCCTCATTTTCAGAGACACCAAGAATTACAGGTGCTCAAAACTGTCATCATTATCCCCCAGAAAATAAGCATATTTAAAATTAAACATCGTCCTGCCTTGTGTATTTTTCTGGGACATTCAAGCTACTTATGAGTAAAATTTATAGACTTCCAGTATAACTTTGTAACTGGAATTCAATTCTGAATGTTTTAGCTGGTTTGTCTATTCTTTGTGTCTAAACTGCATGTCATGCAGCAATTGAAGTGCTAACTTGTCTTTCTTTTTGTTTAAAAAGAATGATGTCTTTCTCAGCTGGCTTCTCTTCTTCACTCTTTCGTCTCTGGTTGACTGGAAACCTGCCTTTCCTGCCTTCATTTCTCCCTCTTCTCCCAGAGTGGCTCTTTCTCTAACATATAGTCTGGTCAGGTAATTCCATTTATATTTCCTCTTTGACTTGAAAATACTGGCTTACAATGTGGATGTTGATATTTTCTTAAAACACCTTATTTAAACTCTTTAAGTGATCTTGAAAGATTCATCAACACTACTTCAGGGAAATGCAATCTATTTTCTTAGGTAGGAACACTCATGTGAAAGAAAAATATTTGTCATCTATGAGTCAAATAAATAAGCGATTATGCCCACTTTTCAGAGCCTCTGCCAGCATGTTCCTTACTATACTTGCCAATGGTTTTAGGTCTTCCAGACAATTTGGCAACTTTTACCCACATTGGCAAATGTAGTGGAATTCTTTTTTTTTTTCTTTTTAATATGATTTGTTGCCTAATGTTCCAAGTTAAATAGGTATTGCTTTCTAATAGAAGATCAGGAATTCATGCCACAAGCCCATAAACTCAATAAGAGTATGACAAATCTTCATATGGCATTATTTAACAGTGTACGTTCAGTATTGAGAGGCCAGTGCTCTGTCAGAAATATGTTCATCGAAACTGAGTATGTTCATCAAAACTGGTATCTATGGAAAACTACAGTTGCTAGCTTTCCCTTCCTAATGAGAAAAGGCATTGCCAAAGTAAGCAGTCCTATTTCAGTAAAACACATTCATTTTCTCCAAACTACCCGTGCCAAGTACTAATATAAGCAAAGGCTGGAAGAAAAGTAAGTGGAAACAGAAATTTGGATCCCTATCCAAATGAAATTAATTATGAGATAGTAAACAGGAACCCATGGCTGTATAACTATTATGGGTCATATTTTACTGTTTCCTTCCCAGGATTCATACATGCTCTTAACATACATCATCAATTGCCCACTTCTCTTAGGGTTACCATTTGTGACACATGATTATTTTTGTGGGGCTAGGTTCTACTAATCCACCTCTGAACTATACATTTGGCCATCAAGAAACAGAATGGTTTTACTGTCTTCCTTCAGGTTGCCAGACCCTAAGATAGTGATCCTGCATAAGGGAGTTGTTAGGGCATGAATAAAACACTACAGGGAATGAGCTGGGGAGATGGGAGCCAGCAAAGAATGTATCAGAGAGCACAGAACTATGGGGGCCAGGAGAAGTTAGTTCCATGCAGGCACTACAGAGGTCAGGTGCTTCCAAGTGCGCTCCCTAAGCCACAGTGGGCCTGAGAAGCACTCTAACCTTCCAGCCTGCCTCTTGGGTAGGCAACATGGACGTCTGTAGCCAGAGAGTTGTTAGTGAAGAACCCAGATGCTGTTTGCATTTCCAGCCCATTTTCATGAAACAGGCCAAGATCTGTTCACAAGTCAGAAGCTAGCGGTTCTTCCATTTTGGACAATAGATGTGGTAGCTAGCTTACGTAGGCCTAGCCAGAAATCATGAATGGTCACCTATCATCTTTTTTTTTTTTTTCCTGTTTTCTTTCATTAGGACTTGAGGCCAGGGGATGTATCTGGCAAGCGAAACCTCTGGGAAAAGCAATCCGTGGACAAGGTCACTTCCCCCACTAAGGTAATATCCTGGGGGGGGGGGGTTCCTGTGTCAGCAGTTGATTTTTTTTTTCCTGATGAATCATGGAATAAGATGTCCTGGGGTCAAATGAGAAATATTGCTGACTCACAAATCTGTGCTTGGACGGCCATCAGTTTCTAAAAGTCTGTGTGTGGCTCAGAGAAAGGACAATTTACAAAGTCATTGACACTGCCTGTTTGTCAGGTTTACAGCATCAATGGCTCAGTCACGGAATGGTTTCCAGTAAGACAGTTTCTGAAGAGTTGTCATAGTTGTGGAAAAGCTGGCCAAGAGGCCCATATGGGATAAGCATGGGCTATCTTTCTTGGCAGAGTCCCTGATTGGCTACACAGTTATTTAGGGGAAAACAAATCTCTTGAGACAAATTGTGTGTCGCCTTCATTGGCTCCATTTCTAGAACTCTCCCAGGAGACAATGCCCACAGCCTCAGACTTCAGGCGGCTATGGGAAAAAAATGTTAAGTAGACAAAATATGCTATCCAGTGAAGACTAACGGCTAAGAATGCTTGGTCCTCTAGGAAAGGGTTTGCATATTTTTCAGAAACACGCTCTGGGTGGTGTTTCAAATACACTCGGAGAATAACCAGTACTGCTGGTTGTATAAGGAGATAATGCATTCCAAATTGTGGCCTTTTCCCATTTCAAGAAACAGATCCAGCCTGTCCCCCAATAGGAGAAAATTTAGAAAGAGAACTCAGCTCAGTAATAAGGTAAGAATAGTCTGCTTCCAAGTACTGTAGAACCCTAGGCTAGAGACTTCTTCAGCAAACTCCAGGCTAATGAGCTTCATGAAGGCAGCTAGAGGACCACTGTGATCCACTGCAGTGAGGAGTGAGGTCCCCTTTTTCTGTATTCTGCACTCTCTTCAACCTGGTGCAGCTGCCCAAGTGTGCCGCTCCACCTTCTCCATCGGTTATAGATTGTTCTTTTGATCCAGTGAAAGCCACCAGCCCAGCCTCTCTACTCAAAGTGACTTCTAATTACTCCCATTATCCAAATGATTGCCAAGTATGCTAAAAAGGACCCAGTGATGATCACCACTGCCAACCCCCAAGACTGAGGAACAGCTACTGTTTGGCAGGCACCATTAGTGTCTCATGTGATCCTCCAGTTACTTGTGAGAGGCAAGTGGTAGGATTATTCCCATTTTATAGCTGAGGAAAATGAGGCACTGAGAAATGAAATAACTTTTGTAAAGGAACTTGTTAGACAATGTGCACTGAGGGGCAGGAAAGACGGCTCGGTTGTTAAGAGCATTTGCTGTTCCTGCAGATGTCCCAGGTTTGATTCCCGGCACCCACGTAGCAGCTCACAAACCTCTGTAACTGCAGTACCAGGGATCGGTACCCTCTCCTAGCCTCCAAGGGCACTAGGCATGCAGTCAAAACACAAACGTAAAACAAAAATAAAACTTTTTATGTTCAAAAAATACCTACACTGATACTCAAGCACTCTGCTCTGAGCCTACATTCTATTATTTATTTATTTATTTATTTATTTATTTATTTATTTATTTATCATTTATTTATTTATTTATTTATTTATTATTTATTATTTGAGACAGGGTTTCTCTGTGTAACAGCCCTGGCTGTCCTGGAACTCATTTTGTAGACCAGGGTGGCCTCAAACTCACAGAGATCAACCTGCCTCTGCCTCCCAAATGCTGGAATTAAAGGCATTTGCCACCATGCCTGGCTTCTGAACCTACATTCTTAACCATTCTCCATATTTTTTTAGAATGTACATTCAGCAGAAAATGTAATGTTCTTAAATTCCCTTCATAATTTTCTATTGGTGACAGGGGAAGTGTGATTTTTTTTTTAAACACAAAGAATGAACTTGTGGGCCTAAGACTCAAATCCTGGAAGCACAGATATATCTTCCAAAGTAGTGGTCCAAGTATTATGGCAGCTTCCTTTCTGAGCAGGGGATGTTGACTATCTACTGTCACAGGTATCGGAGGCCCTGTGGTCACATTCGGGCTATGGGAAGTAGAGCAAAACCACTCTGGAATGGTGGGACTGAAAGGACACCTCTCACATACAGGACAGCATGGAGGGTGCACCTGGGATTGTGCAGGATGGTGGTCCGAAGTGGAGGGGTGCATTTCATGCTCCATGCCTCCCTCACTAGCCTCTCCCACTGATCTCTTACAGTGGTTATAGTAAAACTCCAGACCTAGCTGATTTAATGAGCCAGCAGGTGAGGGGTTCCTGCTCCAAAACATCAAACTCCCTACTTATTGTGTGACCATTCCCTTGAAATGAAAATACACTGCACTTTGAAAATGCAATCTGTCACACATTAATATGTTATTGCCTCAGCAGGGACTTTTAGCACCTGGATGAAGGGGAAAGGAATGGGTAAGAATAGATTAAGGGTCAGATAAGTCTCAGGGCTCAATGTGTAGGGAGGGGTAAGAAAAAAAAAGATGGCTAGGGGTAGATGGGAGAAAAGCAGGGAAAAGCATACCCTCTGTCATAATTACATGTTGATGTGGCCTTGACTGAGCTAACCAGTCATGTAAAACACTGGAAATTCCCAGTCCACATGATAGAGCTTAAAAGCCATCTTGACTTTGAGTGTCCTGAGAAAAGATGAAGGTCAACATAGGAAAGGAACATCCCGGAGAAAGAAAAGGTGACAAAAAATCAGTATAAAGATGGAGTGAGAGGTCCCATTTGAACAGAATGCCAGTAGTACCCTACCCTTTCATGTTGCTTATATTTACTCCTATCATACCATGAGTCTTTTTAGTTTATTTTTCTGGCAAAATCTGTCCTGCTGAAACACTGTGGGCTGCTGATTTAAAGTTCTCTTCTCTCAGCAGGTTTGAAACAATCGGAGAAAGAACCCAACTGCAAGACGTCTTGCTGGGCCAGCTCAGTTGTAGGGGGCTAATTGCTCTGTTTATATTTATGTTGATTTACTAAATTGGGTTCATTTTCCTTTTTTTTTAAATTTTCCAATATCCCAGTAAACCCATGTATATGCTCACTATATTTAATAATCACAACTAGAGATGTTCATGGTCAAAGTACTGCTTTTGCAGAGGAGCCTGTTTCTAGAGAAACTCATGCTGTGAAATAGACTCGCTACTGTCTACTGTCATCTGTACAGTGACACCAACCACATTGGAAGTCAACAGAAGGAATTCGAGGTTAAGATTATCTGAGGAATGTATGCAGTATCTGGGGGTGGGGGGGAATGAACCGTAGGTTTTGTTTTGTTTCAATAAAGACATCATGTTTCTGCACTTTAAACTAAAGCATGGAAGAAATTATCGAAGAAGGCAATTGAAAATATCTGAAAGTAACCCATTTCAGATCTGATATGGGGCAATGATTGTCTTTTTTAAAAAAAAGATGTACTGTTGAGATATTGCTTTTTTATGTGCTGATTCATAGACCTAATTGGATGATTATTTTAGCTGACAGTGGTACTGATTTTTTTTTTCAGGTTGATTGCTTTGTGGATTTCTTTGGTAGTGATAGTAGCCTGAACCACATTTAAATAACACAACTATGTAATGTATGTGCATACATGTATACAGACACACTAATGGTAGACTTCTCTTAAATGTGCTAGACTATTATATTTAGTAGTATGTCCTTGTAACTAACCAATATCACAGCTTTTGGAGGTTAAATCACAATATTATATTAATATTTCATATTTGCCAGTAGAAACATGGAAGTTAGATATAGCTATGTTTTCAATGCCCAATGACTTATAAGAAAAAAAGTATTTGAAAAAGAGATTAGAAGTGTCAAAATCAGTTGAAATTTCTTATAAGACATAGTATTTAGTTTATAATTGAGGGCAGTCTTGAAGTCCAGTGTGAATTTTATTATGTCTACCATCTGGACCAAGCTCAAGGCCTACTTATTTGTAACAGTGAAGTTCCCCAAAAAGTGACCTACATGATATCTAAGGTTTATTCTTTCTCTACTTAAAGCCAAGCATTTTGGTGACAGTATTGCACAAATCAGAATTCATGTAGCCGCCTAAACAAAGACCAACTTTACCTCGTGTAGAAGCAGACAGGTAAAGTGAGCAAAGGCATGGCAGGGCTTCTATCTTTATGTACTCAGACTTTTTAAATTAAAATCTTCTGTCTTTATTAGTCAGTTGGTACTGTCCTAAGTTGACAATAGCTTTAAATTTCAAAACTGTATGTAAATTTTAATAGTGTTACTTTCCCCCTCAGGGGTCTTTAGGAACTCCACCGTTAAGACATCATGTCTTCATTCTTCCTAGTAGATAATGAAAAGTACTCCAGCATCTTACAAAATGTTCTTATATAGGCCATCCTATGCATACAGTCTTTGTACAAACTCATACCTCAGCTGACTTAACCCAAATTATCTTAGTCTCCATTCCTTCTGCATTGGGAGAGCCTCCAAAATAACCATTTCTAACCCACATATTTCCCATCAAGAGGGAAGGGATGGCTTGAGGGGAAACTGCTGCCTTGAAAAGTCTATTTTTCTCATGAATTAGTAAGAGTTAGTTGGATTCCTTAGCTTTTAGCAAACTTGGGCCAAAGGAAGGAAAGCCACTAAGACTACACAAGTCATCTACCCATGACAGAGTAGACACAAGTCTATGATAAGATAAACTAGAATGCACATGGTGCACCATGGAAATGACTTCCATCATTGGAGTAAAATGGATCAAAGTTCAATTTAAGGCTGATGGTGAGAGAACATGTGTTAGAGCTTTGAACAGAGGTCTTCTGACAGCTATTATCTAGGTTTTTTTGGTTTTTGTTGCTTTTAAGAAAGTTCAAAGTTGTGAAAGAATGTCTTGATCCTAAATTTTATTCCAATATTTGGATGACATGAGTTTTAGGGTAGAATTTTGTTCTGTTTGGATTTCATCTTTGGGAAAGCAAATTCCTCATTTACTTGTTCAATTACAGCTCTCTGTTATCTTTAAGAGAGGAAACTGCATGTTGAATAGCGTGTTCTGTGAATCTGCCATTGTTAAAAACATTATAAACACTTGGTATTTTTCACTGATGACTGATCGCTGCAATAAAAATATATTGTGAAATGCATCCACAATAAATGGAATTCTTCCAAATATCTCTGCCTCATGCATTTTTCTTTGCTCTACTGATTGTGAGAAATGTGTCTATAATAATAAAGAGGATGTCAAGGTGCTTGCACTTCACATTGAGTGTTGGTTTCACTCTATAAAGGAAAAAAGCATTTTGAGACAGGATTTCATGTAGCCCAGGCTGTCCTAGAACTCATTATGAAGCCAAGAATGACCCTGAACTCCTGACCTTCTTGCCTCCTCCTCTCAAGTGCTGAGGTTATGAGTAATTGTTAGCATGCTTGGCACAGATCAGATTTCAAGTATTTCTTACTACAGGGAATTTTCTAACCAAATGCTCAAAAGTGTCCTGAGGTAGACAACTGAGAGAACATTTAAAAAATTCTCCTTCTAAATAAAAGTAAAGGCTAGGTGCCCAGCACAAGCTTGTGATCTGGGGTACTCGGAGGCTGGAGGCAGGAAGAGGCATAGACTTTGTTCATCGTCTTGTTCCCAGCTTTAGAGTTTATGTGTCAGCTCATCCAATCTCAGCTCCACAGATAATACTGACCACTTACTTCACTCCACTTCAGATTTAATAGCAGAATTTTTGCTGCGGCATGTTGTTTTAAGGAACACTCAATATATTTTATAAAATATGCACGTCATTTAAGAGGTCTGGACAGGTCCCTGAGAGTGCATTTCCAACGATTCTGATGCTATGGTGGCTCTGCTGTTTTGCAAATGTTGCTTTGAGAAGCCAGTTCTTCCTCCCCCTCCTCCTCCACCCTACCTTCCTCCCCCTCCTCATCTTTCCCCCACCCACTTAGGTCTGTGTGAGAATGTGCTTCAAACATTGTCAGTGACGACAAATGAGAGCACTAAGACCAACACTTAATGCTCATAACACTATTAGGTAGGTGACATTATATTCCCGTTTACAAGGAAACTGTGGCACAGAACGGTTAAAGAATTTATTTCAGGCCACCCAACTGGGTACCATAGTTTCAGAGCCGACACCTCTCCTGCTGTGCCAATGGCTCTCAAAATGGAGGTTACAACCAGGTCACCTGCCAGACTTGTGGAAACAGACTATTCCCTCCAGTTCTATAGGTCTGGGGTGGAGCCTGAGAATTTACATCTTAAAAAAATAGCAAATAACATTAATGCTATTGGTTCCATGTCAGGATACCTAGAAAACCACTGTGTTATGCCAGAAGAGAGTAACAGCTGGAACTTGTCCTTCCAAGTGTGAAATAGAGGTAATTGCTTAGAACTTGACGTGCGCTTCACCCTTTTAAGCCTCTCAGTAATCCTACAAGAGGTACTAGTCAATTATCTCCATTTTGCAAGTAAATTAATTGAAACATAAAGAACTTTTAAAACTTGCCAACAGTCAGTGAGCTGTTAAGTCACAGAATACTTGACCACTAGTAATAGATTCCTAAACCCACACTCTTAATTACTACACTCCCCACTCTGGCACGTGAGATTGCCAGATAATAACTGTGCCTTGAAGAGAGCTCATTGTGTGTGCAGATGGGGACAGGAGGCCTGAAGAAGTTGCTCTCCTCAGGAAGTCCACAGACAAGCGTGTGAGACCAACCCTGTATGCAGTAACTTGACCAGGTAAAGAGACCTTTGTCATTTTGACCCTGGGATGTCTTAATCCCAAACCAACAAGAGGCAAAGACTCTTGAAGGGAAAAGAGAAGAACATAATGAAGGCAAGTTTATGGAATGATCCTTAAGTTGAGTCTTGGTTAGCTGCTGAGTTGGACAGATCTCAAGATCTGGGTTTGGGAACACTTTGAGGGGTTTGGCCATTGAGTGGATCATCCTAAAGCCAGACAGTGCAAGGAAGGGGCAGCCTCTGCACCTCTGGCTGCATTCTGGCCAGCCTCTGGCTCCCCGTTCCCAGAATGGCTTCATCAACTAACCTGTGTGAAAAGACCTCTAAGTCCCCCTGATACCTAACTTTATGATGTCACAAAGAATGACTGCTCTGGTCACTTTGTTTTCTTATCTAGATCTGTGTTTAGTAAATTCTAGATAATGAATTATTCAAAATAAGTTATATTCCTAACATAACTTACATTTTTGCCATTTTACCAAAATGAATTTTCCTCCTGATGCCCATGCCGGAGATTATGCCTTCGCAGTAGTACAGCTTTAGTTTTCCTTTCTTCTTATTCTTCATTTTTTTTGTTTTGAATATTGTGAGTCCTACTGCTATAGGAAAGTAGAATAGGGAAAATTACTTCAGGCTGCATGTGCCTCCGGAAAAGGTACATACAGGCTGTATGAGTCTGTCCAGTAGCTTTCGGTGGTGAGATCACACACAGAGAAGGGAACAAAACTCAGTAAGTCTTCATGAGATTATTCCAGACCTCATTTTCATTTTAACTTAAGAGCAAAGAATTTAATTTCGAGCATGTGCTACTGTCTGAAATCAATTTTTAAAAAAAAAAAACTGTTAAATTAAAAATGTAAAACTAGGAGACAGATCAGTGGGAAAAGGCACTTACCACCAAGCCACACAACCTGAGTTCGATCCCAGGGCCCACATGGAAGAAGGAGAGAACAGACTCCTTCCAATTGTCCCTTGACCTCCACACACGCATTGTACCATGCATGCCCTCCCATAAATGCAATACAAATAATTTTTAAAACTCGTTTTTTAAAACCTTTAAAGCAGATACTATAAAAGCTATTTTAAATTTAACTGGAGGAGAGGAAAATCCATATGACTTATCTTTCAAATGACACTAGCCCCAGCCAGATTCTTTCATAGCCTCTGTACTTGCTGCCTTTTCCCCCTCAGCAAGGTCTTCTCTAGTCACATCCATGGCTCATTCTCCTGTTCAAACACCGCCTGGGCAGAGGTGATCATCCGAAAGAACTACACTGCCATGCCACTCACCTCCAGCACTTGCTATGCTCTTTACTTCTCTTCACAGCGATTTTCATCTGCATGGTTCTATTGCTTTCTCTGCTTTTTTCCCACTAGAATGTAATTCCATGAAAAACTCTTCTGCTCCCTGCAATAGCCTTGTACTGCCAATAGTCTGTGATGTGAACTAACCAGTAAAGATCGGGTACATAGTGAATGAATGTGATTTTCAAAGTCTGGCTGAATTTCTCAGTCATTCTCTGATGCACTAACATCATTCTTCTCTATAAAGATTCATTGACATTATGCTAATGTGCATATATGGGCATATAAATGTAGATATAGATATAATTTAACTCCTGTCTTTGCCTCTTCCATACCTGGCTGGGTCATTTCTTAGAGCTTCGTCTTGTGAACCTGACAGTCTATGGCCTTTACCCATGACTAAAATCCAACAGGAAAGAAATAGATTCCATATATAAAAACTGTCTTTGCCCATTTACTGTTTCTAATAGCACAATACCACTCACTGGCTGTGTAAGTTTAAAGAAAAACCGTCCAGTTTGGCTATGGTTCTAGAGATGCAGGTCAAGGGAACACATTTGGTGATGGTCTTGCTGGCAGAGTTCAGAAAAAGGAAGCATGTCTCCTCTGGTCTCTCTTATAAAGCCACTAAGTATTAATTATGAGGAGCCCACCTTGATGGCCTTTGAATGGCCCCACATATAAACACAAGTAGGGTTAAGTTCTGTCCTTACAATTTCACAATGGCGAGTAAATTTCAGCACCTGGACCTTTGAGGATACCCTCAAACCACAGCAAAGATTTTCTGAGCAGGTCACCTTTAGTGATGTACATATGACACAAAACCAAGCTCACCTAACTATGAAGATTAATTTTCAAATGATCATGATCTACAGTACACTTTATTTCCTCAGATCAATGTCCAAAAAACCACTAAGTCCCAAGCTTTTGGATTGCTGACCCAAACACATTTTCAGAAACTTACCAAATCTCGAGATGCTAACCCATGCTTAAATAAAAGTGCTTTGTCTTTGTTTCACTTTTCAAGCCTATTACCCCTGTTTCCACAATATCACAAGTCTCAGAGCATATAGTGTGGCCCATGAGGCACCAAACACCTATCCGTTCTTTGTCTTTATGGGTTTTTAACTCTACTTGGAAAATTGTTCCAACTCTATTGTCCACCAAAGTTAAAGATGACTAATAAATCAGGATAAGATGTATGCACAAAAAAAACCCCTCTTAAGTCTGTTATAGGATAGCTCATTGACTTAAATAAGGTTTTTTTTTTTTTGCGTGTAAAATGTTGGCTAACAAAGAATTTCTAATTTAATGAGACTTTCTGAGAGTCTGCCCTCATATAACCATGACTCCTCCAAATCAAGCATTTAAGTCTCATTTCCAGGCTAAGGACGGATTACAATTATGCAGAATGGAAATCAACCTTTTAACTCCAAGTACAATTACTGCATTCTTTTTTCTGGATGAAGAAAGTTTAGTCCAGAAAATTAATTAACTTGCCCACGGTCAGGCTGTTAGAAGTCAAGCGAGACTCAAGACACGAGCCTTAAACAGCATGTTCTACTGCCTTCTCTGCGCAGGGACCCAGCAAACAAATTTGCTGTCACTCGGGACAAACTGTTGTCCCGCCTTCCCCAGTGCTAAGTCCTCTCTCCAGCCTGCAACACTCCAAACCTCTCCAAACCTCCAAAGTTCCCCTCGTCGCCCTAGCGTCCCTCTCCCGCCAAAAGCCTCACGCTTTTCTGAATCCCTGGAGCTGCCCGAAGTCTCGCGAGAATACAGCCGTCGCCCTGGCAACAAGCGGCCCGCTCTCCATGGAGGGCGTGGCTGCGGCCGCTGAATTGCCATGGTGTTTCCTTCGGCCCCGTGGTCTCCGGGAGCCTGGGGCACGTCCTGAAGTACTCTCCCGGCAAGGGTGGAACGACCTGGCTGGCTTGAAGAGGCCGAGGGACCGAGGCGGGCGGCAGGGGAGCGCGGGAAATGCGCCCCTCAGCGCGGGGCGGCGCGGGGCCCAAGTAAGCGCGGAGGCGGCTCGGCGCGGGCCCCGAGCTCCTGCCCTCGGAGAAGGCGTGGCGCGGCCGCGCGGCTCCTCGTTCGCGTCCTCCTCAGGCGTGGCCCGGCGGCCGCGAGCTTCCAGCCCCCAGCGCTAGCCCGCCTCACCCGTGCGCGTAAGGAGCCGGCGGCGGCCGGGCGCCTGGCTGGTGGTCCCTATTTCGAGCTGTCATCCGGGGCTAGAGCGTCAGCGTCACTCTGAGATGTCGTCTAGGAACAGCTGTCTCGGTTGCAGATGTTGTTTATGATGAAGCTTGCGAGGCCTTCTGTGCGGTCAGCGCCCCCCAAACACGCTCTTCTGTAAATCAAGGGCTGTGAAGTCTTGTCCGTTGCGTGCAGCCCACGCTCCTAAACTCTTGTTCTTATAGGTAACATAAACCAGTAGTTGTTAAATTGGTCAATTCCTTTGGTACCCTCCAAAGTGTAAAATCTTGGCCAGGATTTTTGATCATTTCGTTGCTTGGTAGCAGGCTTGCCTAGAAAGCAGCCGTGGTCATCTCCAACAGAACCTTCAGGTACATCAATGCTAATGATGTAATTGACTATACAGTAATGATCAAAATTAAAGAGAAACTCAGGTTGTAGACACTGAAACTTTTGGGTCAATTGAAAGTTAAGGAGGAAGAGAAAAGTTTTTAAAGTATTGCAACATTTTATTGCCTGAATAATTATACTTTTTCTTGCTGCCTAATTTTTAATGCCTGGGGATAATCCTGAATTTACTATTGCTATGTAGTGTTTAATTACAGATATAAAATGTAAATGGTTTGGCTATGCACTGTGAAAGTTTTTCAACTAAATTATTTACATGATTTTTTCAACAGACTTTTTTCAGTTTTATTTTTGTTCATAAAACATATTAACAGGGTATAAGTTTAGTCTCTCCATCTCCTCCCAGATTCACCTCCCCATTCCCTGTGCACTCATCTTTGTGTCTTCATTTTTTTTATTTAATTAAAATATAATTACATCATTTACTCTCTTCCAACTCTCTCAGATTCATAGCTTCTTTTTCATTATTATTGTTACGTGTGTGCAAATATATAAATGCAACATGCAGAAGTCTATTGAATATTGCTTGTATGTATATATTTACAGAACTGACCATTTGGTATTGGATAACCACTTAGGGGGTTTGTCTTTACTGTAGTAGTGGATAGTTTCTTCAAATCTTTGAAATTGTAATTAATTTCCTGTATCATCATTAGTTTAATTTTTAGAGATCTATCACTGTTAATTAAATACAATTGTATGTGTTTTGGAGTACTCATTTAATGTAGGATATATACACCTTAGCTTAAAAGAAAAGCTGTCAAATAATTTCCTTAGGACTTTGTCAGCCTCCCCACATAAGAAAAGAAAGTTCAAGGCAGACATTGGAAGACATGTCAGAAGATTCAGAGGAGGAAGACTATTCAGACAGAAGTATCAGTGATGACGATGAATCAGTATGTCTTTCTCTTTTACTTTACATAATTTGAGATAAAATGTATTATAAATCATATATTCCCAATTAAAACATTGTAGAAATAATGTGATGTAAAAATAAAATGGAGGATGAAATCATTGTCATGGAAGTTAGAAAATAACTTGACTGAAAAACTTATTTTGTAATATACCCTAGCTAGAAAGAAATAAAAAGAATTGATTTTTCTTGAAGAGGCTGTCAACTTGAAAGTGTGGAGGGGGAATGGGAAGGGTTGGGAGGGATGAAAGGGGGTAAAATTTTAGATCTAATTCTATTTCAATTAAAAACATTTTTTAAAATAGGAAAAGGGGATTTTTCTTGAGAAAATACTTGGGTAAGATTATTCTGGATTTTATTAAATTTACGTATGTAATCATTAGGGGTTTTATTTTTACAATCCATATCTACCTAACTCCCTTATGTGCTAATCATGTTGCAACATAATGTGCACCATCCTAGGACCACTGGTGGTCTTCCCGCCGGTGCTCCCGTGTTTCCCCACAGTGTGGGAATGTGCCTCTCTAATAACAGGGGAAGGATGTGGAGAGGAGAGAAGGAAGAGGATGGGTGTAGTGTTTGTAAACCTGTGTCTGGTCCTACAACCTGTTCTAAGAGAGGTCCTTTTAAAAGAATAAATTATAATATATTTAAAGTCCCCAAATCATTCAAACGATATATAGTTCTCTAAGTCCACAACTTTCTGTGTTTTTGTGTTCTCATTCTCCAGTTGTTTTTCCAAGGGTTTTCAGGATCTTTAAGCTTTATTCCTTCTCTGCAGTCATTATCATGGCCGTACCCTGTGGAAGAAGAGAAATAAAGATGCAAATTTTAAGGTTCCAGTGGATTGGAACTACTGCTTTGGGGCCAGTTACGCAAATAATTGTTGGAGTCTTCCATTTATTAAAGACAATCCCAAGTACTCAAGTAGATGTTAAACAGAACTCTGGATTTTGATATTATTGGCTCTTCAATTTTAAACTTCTTTTGTTTCAGGATGTGGATACATTCATGAAATTTGTAAGTGGTGATATTCATCAGTGTACAATACTAGCAGGTTTGAACTCATCTTATTTGTCTTTTCAAACTTCCTTTATCATGAAACCTTGAGTGGATAAAAAGTAGTAGAAGGAAACTGAAAAAAAAATCCAGATTTAGTAGAACAGTGCTTATTTTGGTGGGTAGGGAGGAAGAAATATATCCACTTTGGAGTTTTAACTTTTCAAGATGGTTTTAAAGTAACCCTGGTTAATATTAGAAAGTAATGAATGAAATTAAATGAAAGCAGTGATTATTTGTGAAAGACTGTTCAACATAAGGAGTTACCTTTTCATTTTATTCAAAAAATAGAACTGTTCTTTAAAGGCATAAGCTATAACAAACATAAAGTATTAGAAATACATATTTATTTCAGTAATATATAGTTGGATAGTAGTTTTAAAAATAAGGTTATTCATTTGCAAGTATTTATATATGTGTGTGGGCATCTTGATTTATTCTGAATTTTTTAAAATGTAAACGTTTATAGTTGTACTGACAAATTGTAAAATATTTCCGGTAAATATTTACATATCTAACACAGTCCAATACTGATGTTAAAGCCTTTTCACTTGTCTTTTACCACCATTCTAAAACAAATCTTCCCTTTTAAGATACTCTTCTTAAGTTGGTATGTGTCATTGCTAGGGTTTCTGCTGCTGTGACAATACCATGACTAAAGGCAGCTTGGGAAGGAAAGGGTTTATTTCATCTATTACTTTCAGGTCACACTCCATTACTAAGGGAAGTCAGGGAGGAACTCTAGGAACTGAGCTAGAGGCAGCAACCAAAGCAGAAGCCGTGGAGGAATGTTGTTTCCTGGCTTGCTGAGCATGCTTTCTTATACCATCCAGGACCACTTGCCCAGTGATGGCAACTCCACCAGTGAGCTGGGCCCTCTTCCCTCAATCATTAATCAAGAAAATACTCCACAGACTTGCCTACTTACCAGTGTCGTGGAGGCATTTTCTCAGGATTCCATCTTCCCAAATGTCTAGCTTTGTGTTGAGTTGACAAACACCAACCAGCATAGTATGTATTTTTCTAGATTTTTCTCTTTACAAGTGTATATATGTGTATATACATACATGTGTATTTTATGTGCATATATAAAGTGTGTGTGTATATATGTATCTATATACATATACTATAGTAGTAGAAATTATATAGCACTGTTCTGTGGATGCTTCTCTGCTACCCATTTGTTTTTTTGTTTATTTTGTTTTTGTTTTTTTAGCTTTGCCATCTAATGAAAAACAGGATGTAACTCCTTGTTTTAACTGGTATATTGTCAGAGAAATTGAGAATTGTCTATATTCCTTTTTATGAATTGCCCATTCATGGTAATTTTTTGATTTTTGCTTATGTTGCTTCCATCATTTATAATTATTTTGGTGTGGTTGTGTTTATCAGTATTCATCTATGGCTCTTTATTTTTATCTTATTCAAATTACAAAATACTCTACTCCAGGGTCATGAGTATACTCATCAAAAAAATCTTAAGTACTTGTCTGTGTTAATCTGAATTTTGATATTTAGTTTCTCACATGAGTAGGCTTTATTTTCTAATATATAAATAGCTAGAGTGTCATTTTGTATTCTGCAGTAATTTTTATTGAAATTTGTCAATTTTTATCATTGATTTCAAATGACACCTTTACCACATGTTAGACATGTTAATTTTATCATGTACTAAATCCCATCTCTCCATCCCTGGACTCATGAGTCACTGTTAATGTTGTATATTATAGCTTTAAATGTGATATTTTGGTTTATGTATATGTATTTGGTATAGGACAAGTATTTCTTCAGACTCTCTTTCTAATTGAGTCAAAAGTTAGAAACAATCTGAATATCCAACAATAGGAAAATTATTAATTAAATCACATCACATTGTATTCAAGGTATATATTGTACTATGCACTATAAGAAAAGCTTCTACAAGTGAAGATATAAGTAGTAAAGAGCCACAGATGAATTCTTATAGCCATATCAAAATAATTCTAAAGGATCAATGTAGATATTTATCTGTGATACATATTAAATAAAGTCACAGTCATATGTTTAAGGTGGTCCAATTTGGGTAAAGCCTATTAAAATGTAATCTTGACACATTTAAGGAGATGATTTGAGCAACAACGGTCCACAAATTGGGTGCTTAAAACCAGAAAGGGTTTGGAAATACTATCTAAGCTACACATAAGGGAAAGACTTAAAGAGTGACTTCATAAGCAAAGCAAAGATTTGATTGTTTAAAGTGGAGCAGAGAACTTAGGTGGATCCTAGTGGAATGTCCAGGTTAGTTCACAGGCTCAATAGTTATATAAAAGAAGGAAAATAAACTTAGAATTTCACATCAAACCGATGCCATACAATTACACACTGACAGAGAAAGGGCCACTGCACTGGCTGCTGAGAGGGTAGGCCCATGATAACTGTATGAACCACACTCCTGAGGTTGGGTCACACAGTGAAAAGCTTATGACTAAGAGAACACTAGCAACCTTTAGGAATGTAGTTCCAATAAGTGGTGAAGTTATAGTCAATGACTATATTTAACACACTGGACAATTAGTATGGTTAAGAAGTCAAATATAGGGCTTGGAGAAATAGATCATTCGGTAAAGTACTTGCTTCACAAATAAGAGGACCAGAGTTCAAACCATAATGATGCCTGGCATAGTGGTTTGCTCCTGTAATCCCAGCAAAGGAGAGGTCTATGAGACAGAAAGATCTGTAGGCTACCTGGAAAGCCAGTCCAGCCTAATTGGCGGGTTCTGGGCCAGTGAGAGACCCTGTCTCAGTGTAGGTGGACAGTGTTCTTGAGGATGAAACCAAAACAAAGGTCCTCTGGACTCCATAGGCTCTCACACACACATTTAAAAGTCAAATTTAGATGATCTGCTAGGGAAGCTGCAAGAAACAGACATTTTTAAAGTATTGGTAAGAAATCATTATAAATGATACTATATATGTTAACAAACATTTTTAGCTATTATGAAGATCAGTTGTCACAAAATTTCACTTAGATATTTAGAATGTTGTGAATTATTAAATAGTTAATATATCTATAAATACGTATAAATTTAGTAGATTAAAAGGAAAAGAACTATGTGAAACATGTAGGAATTAGGGATTTCCTTGTAGTCACTCATGATTGTGTTTCAATCTTTTTTCAGCTGATGCTATTGGTGACCCATTCTTCCCTCGAACTACACAGATTTTATTGGAGTATAGGTTAGGAAGATGGGTACCACGCCTTCGTGAACCAAGGGATTTATATGGTGTCTCTTCTTCTGGTCCATTGAGCCCGACACGGTGGCCATACCACTGTGAGGTCATTGATGAAAAAGTCCAGCATATTGGTATGTTTCTAGAAGTTTGGGGAATTCAGACATTAGCAAATTTATTTTATTAGTCTTGATGTTAATGAGGAGACTAATGATCTAACAGCTGCATTCCAGGAGTATAACATAAGCCATATGTATATATAAAAATTTCCTACTAGCTATACAGCTTTAAAAGTGGAATTAATTTTAAAATAATAGTCCATTTAATTGAAGTATATAAAAATATTTCACTATCTTTTTGCTCAGAGTCATCGAAATCTGGTATGCATTTTATACTTATGGACATTGTAGTTCAGACAACACAATATCATACAGAATTCAGACTCTTCACATTTCACTGTGCTTAAATAGAAGGATTTAAAATGTATGCCAGAACTGGGCATAGTGGTACATACCTGTCATTCCAGCACGCAGGAGGCTGAGGCAGAGGATTGTAAGTTCAAGGCCACCCTAGGTTGTATATCACTGGTTCCTATTTCAAATAAACAGAAGTCCCAGATCTATGTTAGCTCCGAACAGTTCCAAAAGATATGACTTCCTAGTCAGACATACGGGGCCTTTACCAGTGTCAATACTTGTGAACTGTAGTCTCACTCACTTTTGTACCTCCATCCTTGCCCTCAGTCTCTTTTCTTCTCAGTGTATCTTTGCTGATGCTTGTCTTTCTCTTGTTGCCATTTCTGTTCCTCTTTGATTATCTAACTCCTTAAATAAACCCCTTTATCTTTGCCTTTTTTCCCACTTCTTGTTTCTTTTCTTCAGTGGACACGGATGGGCTGTAGGCTTATTTAAAGTGTATTTTTTTGTTTGTTTCTTTCTTTATGTGTGCATTCCCAAATTCATTTTCTACTATCCTAGAAAGAGCTCATAGACTTAATGTCCATAGTCAAAGACAGTGGAATAAAGACAGTCAAAAAATCCTCATTGCTCTGCACCTTCCCACTGCTATTTTTCTCTTGTTGATTGTAGAGTCCACATATGCTATTACCATGTAGAACTCTAATAAAATATTAGTGGATGGATAAAATTTAAAACTCTGTAATTATTACAGTGCCTACTGAAGTTAAATGCCACTCAGAAAGTTTTTTGTTTGTTGATTTTTTGTTGTTGTTGTTTTGGTTTTGGTTTTTCAAGACAGGGCTTCTCTGCATAGCCCTGGCCATCCTGGAACTCACTCTGGAGACCAGGTTGGCCTCAAACTCAGAACTCAAAGACCTGCCTGTAGGTGGTATTTTTCTGTGTCCCAGCAGCCACTCCTCAAATAACCACACAAAAATTTATTAATTATAAATGCTCAGCCAATTGCTTAGCTTGTCTCCAGCCAGCTCTTTCAACTTAAATTAACCCATTTCTGTTAATCTATACACTGCCCCAAGGCTCATTTACCTCATCTATGAAATTCAGTGTTGCTTGTTTTGTGTCTGGCTTGCAACTCCAGACTCTGCCCTTCTTCCCAGTGTTCACTCTGCCCGAAAAATCCTGCCTAGCTATCAGCCAATCAACTTTTTATTAACAATGAGAACAACACATTTTCACAGTGTACAAAAGGATTATTTCACAGAATTTCCCCCTTTTTGTCTAAAAAGGAAGGTTTTAACCTTAATATAGTAAACCTATAACAAAAACAGTTATCAGGTAAGAATCATAGTTACAATAAGTATTCCATTTGTATTTGGCAAAATTGGATAAAATACTGTACTTAATCTTTGTAAGTCTAAAGTTTTATGCTTAACAAGACTAAGGAAAACTATAAGTTTAACTATTTAGTCTTTAATTACATCAAAGACCCAGAAGGGTGTAATGATACCTAATGACATGGACATCTGGCTATAAAATATTTTGAGATTAATAGTTGTTTTTGGATAATCTATCCTTTTTTCCTTTAGAAAGGGGTCTTTGAATTTAACTCTTTTGTTTACCTTTTTTTTCTGACTGTGACAAATTAACAACTTATAACCAACCCTCTTTAATGATAACAACATTCATAACCCATCTTTTGGGAATGTAGTTGTTTTCTCTAAACTACTTCCTGTTTTCTGGGGGTACTAGCATCCTTGGAGGACCCTGAGAAAATTCAGGATAATAGTTAAGTCTGGGCTGCAGTAGTCTGTGAGGCTGGACCATCTCAGCCAACAGCCTTGAAGCTGTTCTGGATGCAGAACTCTGAGGAGACTGCAACAGAGGTATTTTGAGATGCTGGATCACCTGGACCATTTGTTTTCATTGGTGTCTGGTCCCCTTATTCTGAAAACACATAAACTTTTAAAAGTAACATATGTATCTATATTAATACAAGTATAGACTGTGCATTGTACACAAGTTAGTCAAAGATGATTTTTTGTTTTATGTTTGAGTAGATAAAATATGCGTTAAGTGTTCTGTGGTTCTTTTAGGTTTATTTCTTTATGTAGCCAGGATTTTCAGGGGGTCTTCCTTGACCAAACCTGATCCATATCAACCTAGAATGAATCCACAGCTTATCATTTCTTGTGGAAATAAACGCATAACCTCTTCTCCAAAGTAACATATCTTCTGACTTCCATTTTGAAGTCAAGACATTTTAAAATATGGTTGTTTAATCTATCAGTTTTCATAATCCAATGTGTTGTGTCTTTATTAGCAATCAGAAAATCTAAAGACAACACAATAATATACAGAATCCAGATTCTCTGTTTATTTCCCATGTTTATGTGGCTTATTATATATTTTTTATTTTTATTTTACTTCACTCCTTTTTAAGGACTTTATTATTTTTAAACTATTTTTTAATCTGTGACTGTATATACTTTTCTCTTCTCTCTCCCAGGCTTATGTATATTTTAAACACATTGTAATCCAGTTAGAGATTTTTTTTCCATCTTGATCTGTCTTTACTGAGCATCTGAATTGTTCTTTGATTGCCTCAGGTGAATCCTAACTGCTATGTTAGCAGCCATTCGTGCAGCTTAGCTTAGTGCCTGGTGGCTGGCAGCTGACTCCTCCCAGAGGCAGCTGCCAGGAGATGCATCTCTACTGTGGCTGATATGAGAGACATGAGACTAGGAAGCCACGTTTGGCTCTGTTTCTGTGTGTTTAGAACCTTTTAAAGCTTTCTCAGGTTTTATGTGAATCTACATTGCCCAATGGTGGGTGCCATTTGTAGGTGGAGTTTTTTGTAGGCATGTGTAGGCAGCTGCTCCCAAATAACCACTCAGAGACTTATTAATTATAAATGCTCAGCCAATAGCTTAGGCTTTTCTCCAGCCTAACAACTTAAATTAACCCATTTCTGTTCATCTGTGTGTTACCCCAGGGCTCATTTACCTCATCTATGAAATTCCCATGTTGGTTCTTCGCCCAAATTCTTCCTAGTGTTCTCTCTGCCCAAAAATCCTGCCTAGCTATTGGCCAATCAGTTTTCTATTAACAGTGAGAGCAACACATTTTCACAGTATGTGAATGATTTTTGGGGGATAGGGTTTCTCTATGTAGCTTTTGGAGCCTGTCCTGGAACTCACTTTGTAGACCAGCCTGGCCTTGAACTTACAGAGAACTGCTTGCCTCACATCTTTGGTGAATCCTGTTCTTACATTTATTGTAGCTAGAGTTTTCCTGCCTTGCCCACAGTCAGGACAAATCTTTGTCACCCGCCAGTCCCACAGCCGCTCAGACCCAACCAAGTAAACACAGAGACTTATATTGCTTACAAACTGTATGGCCGTGGCAGGCTTCTTGCTAACTGTTCTTATAGCTTAAATTAATCCATTTCCATAAATC